CGTACTTTGTGCTCATGATAGCAAATCACTCCCCTGTTGAATCCCTCTTTAGAGTCACTACACGCCATTCCAGAACTCTTCCGAAACTCCACTTTTGCCATTGAATAGTAGTGAAATTTGCCAACCAATTTTAATGCCATGCAAATGCGTGTGAAACGGGTGAATTTATCAAGGGTGAAATAGGATTTCTATCCTCAATATGACTGCCATGCCACAGCACAAAGGACTCAAATGCACTCGTGCTGTGCGCAAAGTCCAGAGCATATTAATTGCAATACTTCAGCATGAATTTTATCGTCAAATGCTCTCACTTTAATGCTGTCCTGAATAGGGAACTCCAAAAGGATGCTCTTGGCAGGATTTTAGTGACTTTGCAAATTAGCTTTCGCAGCTTTTCTGCCAAGGTGCCGGCGATGATGCGAATTTGTGTCAATGTGGAAGTGAAAACTCATTTTGTAAGTTTTCCCCTCCTGAAATTACCTCGAAAATTGTCTTAAGTATCTTTTGCATTTGATTTTTCGAAGCACAAGAGGTAATTCATTTAGGGAACTTTCGCCCTAAATGAATATGTTTTCGGGGCTCTGGGAGAAGCAATTTGCTTGTCAAGGATTCGCTTAGGAACTACATATAAACTTTTAATTTTAATGAGGGATAAATTCTAATTAATATTTTTCACATTTTAGGTGTGTTACAGCTGCTGTGATTTTCACACTTTTGCCTTCCTCTATTCATTAAAATTCCCCCTTTGGCTCTGATGGACTTCTCCGCCCACGTCTTTTTTCTGGTGGGGCTGTTTGTTGGGTGAGAATTTCCCAGGAAGGGAAACTAATGTCACAACTCAGATCTGTGCGACAATGGCAGGGAAAGAATGTGGAAAAGTGCAGAAGAATGCTGGAGAGCTATTTTCCAAATGTGGTGTTTAATTAAAGTGACTCCATGAAATTCCGCCATTAGCAGATTGTCTATTAGGGTGTAATAGAAGGGTGTTTGTGTATATAGCTCAAGTGGCTTTTCCCACAACGCAGATTAGGAGAAAATTGCACAATTGCCACAGTGAAAAAGGCTGAAGACTTTCCCGCCAAAATATGTCTCATTTAGACCCCTGTTTCAATATTAAATCACTCACGCTGTCTCGTGTGGGGAAAATTATGGGTTTTTGCCTCTCGGAAAATCTCCACACGCGCGCGTTGGCGTCAAAGGGGTTTTCCGCATGTGATTGAAGAGTGTCGAGAAGCATATGGAGTCTCAAGAATTAATGACACACATTCTCATGGGAGGGAAAGTTTGAAATTCAATTAAATCGTGTAAATTATTAATTGAATGCTGTGAACGCGTGAAATGAAGTCGCGGTCTTGTCTCAGAGGCGCCCTCAATTTCCCTTTTCTCGCGTGCGACAGGATTTCGTAGCCCTTGCGAGAGTGGATGAAGTCGGAAATGAGTTTTGTGCATCACAAGTTCATTTCCATGCTTTAGAGTGAAAATACTCCAGTTCTCGTAAGAGTATTACACTCATTGAGTCTAATTAACTCACTCGCTTAATTCCCTTGCTGTGTCTCTCTTTGCCAGAGAGCGCTCTTTTAACAATGAGATTCTCAATTAATATATCATTGCACACACACACGGTAAATAATTCAACCCCAAAATTGTGACACATTGTTTAATGCTGATCGATTGAGCAATAATTAGATTTTCAGACTAAAATTCAATTCAATTAATTACATTCGTCCATAATATATGCTGGAAAACCAACTCATTTGCATTTCTCATCCACAGTAGACTTTTTCATCCAATTACTCTGGGCTGCATTAGGAACTTTTAGTCACTGAACCGCATTATGCAATTCAATTTAGTCAGCCATTTTCACGGTGTGCGAAAGCCTTCAATATTCCACAGCAAAACCGTCTATCAATTGGTGGAAATTGTGGCTGATTGAATTTGCCAGTATTCGCAAAACAATGCCCGAAGCGCACTGAAGAACACTTTCAGACAATTCCAGATTCACGAGCAGAATTGGAGCAATTAATCAAAATTCCATTTCTCAACCTGTCTCCGGTGCAAAAGCACGAGTCAGATGAAGAATTGCATTCCAATGATAATGATGAAATTGCATGAGGAGACAAGGTGAAGAGGCGAGATCATTCAATGCCATCCGCTGATGTCGGATGTTGACGGTTTGTCTTGGGGAGATGTGGAGGAAATTGCGTGTCCTCGATGATTTGCAATTCATTTCACGCTCTTCTGGGGCCCTTTCTCCACCCCCCAAATGAGCGCCACGTGATCAATAATACACCTGAGGATTTTCCCGAACGGTAATTCATTGATGAATACCTTCTCAAAAGGTTAGACCCTTTTTCCATTGCTAAATTTATATGTATTTTGACTGCAAATTAATGGAGAAGTCAGCAATTAATGGAGAATTTCCTCATTTTCTTGAAAACTTCATCTGAATGTCAGAAAATCGACAATTTTTCAATTATGCTAATGATTTCATTCGGCGAATTTTCGCTTCAGCGATTCACTCTCTAAAGAGATTTGCAGCAAATGGATTAAGAAGCTCAGAGCTCTTTGCCAGATTCCCTCAATGGTTCTCTCTGGATTTTTGAGACATTGAACCTGGAGCTTTGAAAGCTCCCAGAGAGTATTTGAAAGGAAGCTCAGTGTTGCAATTAACCCCACAGACGGAAGGACATGAGATTTTTCGCTAGACTTGCAACATAAAGTTGCTCTTGAGCAAAATGAAGAGCGACAGAATGTAGAGAATTGAACAAGATGCATCAGCCAAGTTAATTTAAGATTTATGACAATTGTGAATTCATGATACGATTGTCCCCAATGTTGCTGGCAAAACAAAGTAAATGCTCTGTATCTCGACAGACAATGTAATTTTCCACTACAACTTGCCACACATTTGCCCAAACCCACACAAACACACAGCAGAGCATTTGCATTTTCTCCATTGCCGGTGATTTTTCTCACTTGAAAGTTGCGGAAAGTTTTGCCGCGAAAAATCTTCCATCTTCACGTCACGATTGGTGGAATTACTTGTGGATGGTTCGCCTCGAGGGTGGCGCAATTTATTCTAAAACGTAGTTTTCCAAAGTGCATGATTTGAAAATGCACAAATATATATTTTGAGAATAAAATCCCCCTGAATATATTTCATATGCAATGGCTTTTGCTATTGATGAAATATTGATATGATTTCTCTGAGAAGTTTCTCTTTTGGCGTTTTACAGCGAATTTGCAATTTATATTTTCTTCAAAGGAGCCTCACGAGAAAATCTAGGAAATTACCTTCGGCGGAAGCGGAGAAAAAAGAAACATCGCCGCAGTGTGAGAATTGCGTTCGCATTTTCTTCCAATGATAAGAATCTCACGCGACCTCGCGAGGAGTATTTTCTGTGTGTATTTTCATTTTTAGCATCTCCCCTGTTTCATCTCTCTCACAGTCATTCGCATTCATTTGTGGTTTTCCCTTCTATTCTGTATCATTTTCCACGCCAGACGCGAAGGCTCAGGCGGAAGGAGTCCTTCTGCCGACACACACAAAAAGGAACTTCGTTAGCGAGTCATTTTCATTCTGCAGTGCCGAGGAGAATTGTCGAGTGGCGAAGACAAAGGTAACAACACAAGGAAATCCTGCTGAAGGTGTAAAAAAAAAAGAATTCCGTACTATTCTGGAAGTCGCTGGATTTCTTTTTATGTCTTCTTCCCCAAACGCTCTTTGGTCGATATACGTTTTTGGGGGCGCGCCTGTAAATTGCGAAGATGTTCAGAGACGAAGAAAAAATTACAAAATTATGTAAGATGTTCTCTAAACAGGGAAAATTGAAGAAATTTTCCATTCGCCACAACGAGTGGCGCATATCATTTAGTTTATGCATAATTCATTGAATCCACGGTGGCTTTATTCTTATCCATTCGAGCTTTTGTGGATGAATGAGAGGAAAAATTTCTGTGATGAAAATGAAATTGAAATTAAATTGAAGCGATTTTCTGGCGGTCTCCGTCAGTTGTGCGACATTTTGGAGAAAAGAGCGCCCAAGAAATTTGTTAACAACATTTTCAGTAGATCAATTTAATGTTTTCCTGTCACTCTTCTTCTGCTTTTCTTTCTCTCCTGTGTGGGGAAAAGTATTAAAGTTGCTTTTGACTCTGTGTTAGAGAAATTGAACTAGGGAGAAACTGGAGTTTGCTTCTTGCCTTCTTCGCATCCTCGAAAGTTTCACGATGACACGAGCTGTGAAGGAGGAACTCGTGCTAATCCAATTGTATGCAACCAGAAGCTCAACTTGGAATCTCACACTTGACCTGCCACATCGTCACCGAGTGTTATTCGTGGTTTGCCCGGGATTGTAAGTTGGGTGTTTTCAGTCCAGCATTTGAATCGATTGCCGGAAGTTCCCATTGGGGAAATTTATATAATTAATTTAGCAACAATTTCGGCCAAAATGGAAATTCCATGCCAACCGCATCGCAAATGTCCGGACAGTGTGGGTTGACCCAAAACAGAGTGATACAATTTGCAATGGTGACAAATTACTGTCCTATGACCTTTTGTGCAGGGGAAAGTTCATCTGGTGAAGTGCAAGAGCAAGCTCATTGTTCGCCCAGATTGAACTGCTAGACAAACTCTTTCTATCATGAAAAGTGCTCACAAGATGAAGTTAATGGATTGAAATTGAGAGGAACATGCAGAAAATGTCTTAAACTTATTCAATAGCGCTTTTGACAGATTTCACATAATAAGGCGAGATGTTTTTCATGCCAAAGATATTGAGTAATAACAAATTAGCTTAATTAGTATTGATAAGAATGGATCAAGGCTGAAATATTATGATCAGAAGTGGAGTAAAGCTCAGCGGACAACAATTCACACACTTCTTAACGCCTCAAAAGGCATTTTCCATCGCTTTTTGAACTCCTTCCATTGCAATGAATTTGCAATGCAAATATTATAAATATTTGCACTTCCCTAATACTGTACACCACTTCCGACCATAATATCTGCCCCTTGTTCATTTCAAAACCCATTGGAAGTGTTGAAAGTCAGAGATTTGAGCTATTATTTTCCCCTTGGGAGGGACAAAAAAGTTCTAGTTTTCCATATAAACACCAAACAACATTGGATTTCTCGGTCTTCCTTATCTGAACAAGCAATATTTGTCACATCCGTAATTTATGACACGTCTGTTAAGTCCCATAATCAGCTGTTCGCTGATATGAACTTGAGAACGAGCACCACTAACTTCCTTATCACGGCTCAGTGCGTTTTCGGCCTTTGAGATAGTTATTGGTCTCTGACGATGTCGAACACAGATCGTTTGGTGTCGATTCCACCTGAGGATCTCCTCACACTCCTGGACATGTACAAAGTCAATTGGCCACGGCATTTGCTTAGCTACCAAACGATCTATCACTTCTTTCTGTGGCTGCAGAAGAACTCGTCGATTGAGGATCTCTTCGTATGGAGTCTCAACGGCTCTTGGCGACAAAATGGAACTGTGATCATCAAGGTGAGTGTTGAGCAGATATCTGGGGATATTCCAAGAGTTGATAAAGCTTCTTGCAGAGTCACCGTGACATTCACATTGCCACTTTGGATGAGACTCACGAGAGTCTCTTCCGAGCTCTGTGTCTCCTCGATTGGAGTCCAGGCATCCTCGTGTGCTCCTTCTTGGAATACATGCGACCGGCGCCTCTCAGAGCCATTGAGAAGTGCAGAGTTCCTGTTGCCTATGACTGTTCCTACAAGTTCTTCATACTGGCCAAGGAGAAAGCGATGGATCTGCAGGAGGTGAATCTGCCAGAGAACATCACAATCAAGAGACTCGCTGTTGAAGACGCTTCAGTGGCCAATGATTTGTGGCCATACAAGAAGGATGGATCTCTCGTGTTCCTTGAGCGAATGGCAAAGTACAATGTTGCCTTCAGTGCGTATTCCTCGACAGGACAACTCGTTGGCTGGGTGTTTGTGGACTCTTCTCTGGGCATTGGCACACTTCACGTCGTTGATGAGTTTCGCGGCAGGAAAATTGCTCAAGCTCTGGTCGTGAAGATGTGTCACTATCTTTCCGGCACTCTCAATATTGATCCTCACACGTTCATCGTGACGAATAACTATCCATCGATTAATCTCTTCAAGAAGCTCGGCTTTGTGGAAAACACCGAACTCGGCTATTGGATTCAAACCAAACCATTCAGCGAGAATGGTGCAAAGTTGTGTGCGTGAGAGATAAAAATAATAAAATTGAATAAGTGGGACTAATTCGCAACTCATTTCTGACATAATTCGCCATGAGAGATCGGCTCAATGAGCCGCAGTCTTTTCTCAACCTCTGCTGTGAAAGTATCGCGCTGTCTTTACCCAAATAATGCATCAAGATCATCTTGTTGAGATTCCCAGTGAGAATTGGATAGAATTGCGTGATAAGTTCAGCACTGATTGGCCTCGAAACATTGTGAATTACTACACTATCAACACTTACATCAGCTGGCGTGAAAAGTCAAACAAGATAGATCATCTGCACTTCTACAGCCTCAATGGCGAGTGGAGACGAGATGCAACGGTGCTTATTGTGGTAAAGTGTCTTTTCTTTCGCATACATGCAGACTTTTACAACACTTATAGTAAATCTATATTGAGTATTTGCGTTGATTTGTTCAGTCACTCTGTGTGGGCATTCGAAGTGATCTGCAGTTGTTATCAATCAAGTGCAAAAGTCAAGCATAGACAAGTGCATTTAAAAATGCTGAGAAAGCTTAATCTAATGGGCGTTAAACTATATGAAAATTCTCCTTGGCAGTGATTTGGTAGCTTTCATGAACCCAAAAAGCAAACAAACTACTTTATGAATGACTTATTCTCTTGCCTATTATTCCCACAATCTTGCTTAAAAGTCTCTAGATTAAATGCTTTTTTTTCTTTGAGTATTCTTGCGATCTCTAAACTGCAGATCATTTCCTCAAGAATGCCACTCAGAGGATCTCTTGATTAATCTCTTTTGCTCTTCAATCTCTTCGCTCTTCCCCTGTATCCAGGATCGGTATCAGTTATTCGTCTGCAGTCTTGATGAGTCAAATGCACAGCTGAAGAGAGCCCTCGAGCTGCTGGACTGGCGCGCTGGCTTCAAGATCAGCTCCTTCGTGTCTAAGCATCGGCCAGCGGTGCTTCACTTGGTGGAATCTAGAAGATTAGAGAAGGAATACGACAGTGAGACAATCCTCTACCATCTTCCACGTCATTTGGCTCAAGCCGTATTAGTCGAGTTAGTTTTAGCTTTTTGATTTGTGGCCAGGAATATTCTAACTCGCGCCACTTTTTTCTAGCTGTCCAGATGACATCGAATTGCATCCCATGCGTGAGGAGGACGCAATCGTTGCCGATCGCGTGTGGCCAAATCGTCACGTTGGATCGCTCTTTTTCCTCCAGCGCCTCATCGCGTGGAATCCAAATGTTGGCGCCTACACGCGGGATGGAAAGCTCGTGGCGTGGTGTTTTCTCCTTCAAGCCGGTGCATTGGGAGCCTTGCAGGTCGATGAGGGATATCAGCGACGAGGCTTGGGAAGCCTGGTGGCCAGAGCCATGATTAGGAAGCTGTGTGATCAGGGAATTGAGACTTTTGCATTCGTCAATGTGGACAACACGGCGTCGAAGAGGATGTTCGAGAGGCTCGACTTTGAGCGGACAGATTTCATCTACTGGCTCAGAACCCTTCCCACAGATCCTTCAATTCCTCCATGGTCGGATTAGAAGAATGTTATGGTACTTATGGCAAATGACACGACGTTTATTGGATGCAGATCGCAATGGAAAAAAAAACATTCCAATGATATGGATTTGGAAGTAAATGAGGAATTAGTCATCAAAATTTTCTTCTTCGGCAACATTCGCTTTAATCCCAATTCTATGTCAACCATCAGAATGTTTGGATTCATTTCAATTTCACTGTATTCCTATTGATTTCTCTTACTTGGAAGCATTTGATATTGAAGTGATGGCACATTTCTCGCACCTGCAAAGAGGCGAGACAAATGGAATCAATCAGCCGGCGCTGCGAGCTGTGCATGTCAATGGGAATTCTCTTACCACACACGTGCCATAGTGAATGTGGGCGGCTGTTGATATTCCCGTGATTGTGTACACCACGGCCAGTTCCATGCCGACACTGAAGTGCACACCCAGGCTGTCGTAGAAGGGAAACGTTGACACTCCAGTGGCCACAAGGAGCACCCACAGCAGCCCATTCCAGCAGTCCGTCCGCGTGTCGGACATTTGGGCAACAATCAGCCGACACTGCAGAGATTCAATCGGTCAATATTGAAGTGCGCGACAAGAGTTCAGCTCCAAGGGGGAGATAGTATGGCAAAACTCCACACACTTTCAGCTCTTAGCTAACAATGAATTGTCTGCAATTGATATTCCTGCAAGAATCCGCCTGAAACTGCTCTTTAAGGCATTATTTTGACTTAAGCATTAGAATTTATGTGCCTGAATCCTATTTTCTCATCAAATTCCACCCAAATTCTCCCAAGAATCATGGTAAAATGTTGGAGAAAGAAGCATTAAAGGACGTAATATTGTATGTGAATACTTCTCATCATAATATCTCCCCCTTGAGTCGCACCGAGATGCAGTTGTTAATTAAAATTGCATGTTATCATGATGCACGGGATGAAATTGAATTTGGCAAATTGCGAAGCTTTCAATTAAATCACCAATTTGTGAAATACAAATTGGCAATTTGTAAATGTGATCTGTTGATTTTGAACACAATTGGTGGAAAAATGATATGATTTTTTGCGATAAATGTCTTACGCAGATGTTGGAGAAGATTGTCCCAAAGCACACAAATAGCATCCGAGGATCCAGAGTGACCACATCATTGATGGACAAGACCATCCAGTAGTGCGACACGGCGTACAATCCGACCAGTGGCATTAGGGGACGAATGGCCTCGAGGAAGGGGCGCATCTTGCCCGTTCGATCCCTGTATGACTTGTAGATGTTCCACAGGATCACCGGATGACTGCTCAGGACGGCGGAGAGCACGAGCAGCACGAGGAATGAGTCTGCTGGCGTTAAACCGAAGAAAGTCGGCGCTCGCCACAGCCAAGGACCAACGCAGAAAGTCACGCTGAGAACTATCGTGACGCCCTGAGAAGAAGAAGACACTGAGTAAATTGTCAGAGAGACTTGGGCAATTGCAGGTCTTACCCACATAGTGAAATCGTAGCCCCACGGCAGGAACATCACGCCTGTGTTGTACTTCTCGAAGTGCGTGAGGTAGAAGTTGAGGAAGATCACGTAGGAGATCACGTAGAACATCCTGATCGGTGGAAGGTCCGTCACTCCGAACAGAGTGAACATGTAGATGGGAATGAGGGCGGCTGAGTAGGAGTCCAGGCCGTGATCGAAGAGTTCTCCGAGTGGTCCGCTTGTGCCTGTCCTCCTGGCCTGCTTCCCATCGATTCCGTCCAGGTTGTAGGCCAGGAAGATACCAAAAGCGGCCGCCAACCAAACCCATCGAGGGATGGGATTCTCCTGCAAAAGGAAGGCATTGAGCATCACATGGATTTCAGGGAGGATGCAGAGACCAAGGGAAAATAATATGGCTAAACAATTTCTGTGAAATACTTCCAGGTCTTTGGCAGTGCTTAAAACACGCATACAGAGAAACAGTATTTTAGAAATATTTGAAGTCTCTAGCGAATATTTTGATGTGATTCAATTTTTAATCACTCTTTTGTATGCACTTTGGAACATAACCTAAAAAAAACCTTGAAATATTGAAAAGAATCCCTTAAAGAAACTTATTCGGAATCTTTTCAAGGTTAAATTGGGTATTTTTCATATTTTTCAATTCACACAGATCTTGAAATAGAGAATTTTGTATCCTGAAACAATGTTTTAGAGGTTATGATCAATCTTAGCACAATTAACATCAGTTTAACATTAAAAACTTGTAATTTTCATCAGATATCATTATAATTGTGTCACTAAATACAAATTCTACCAGGTTAGGCGCAAGAATGAATGATTTTGGAGGTTATGTAGGGACAAAGATTGTCTTAAATTCTTAACATAACCAATAAAGATGGAAAGAACCATTTTTCCCTCCAAGTATTGAATATTTGAATGCACTATATTGAAGATATTCAAGCACTTACGCTTTCAAATACTTCAACTGAGTTGTACACCCCTTCTCACCATAATATCTCCCCCTTGGCAGAGAATTTTAGGAATCATTTTACCTCCTGATCTGCAGCCGTAAAGCCGTAATCGTAATTTCCTATGAGGAAGAATGTGGCCACAGTAAGGAGGAATCCGGTGAATGTGATCAAGTTGGGCGCCAACCAGCGCGGAAAGTACTTCACGCACCAATTCCAGAAGGGATGCATTACGTGCACGGACAGCAGACTCGTGTCCACGCTGTTGTACTGGAAGAATTAAACCAAGAGAGAAATGCATGTCAACAACTCCTTGTTTGTGTTTACTTCCTCAATGGCAATCGCGCGCTATCGCGACACTTTCGAAGGAAAGCGGGAAGATTCTCCACAATCTCTCCTCGTCTCAATGTTTTGTAGTGTTGTTGTTATTTTTTCCGCGAAAGCATCATCACCCCACTCGGCGATAATGCCACATGGGCGCGATAAAGTTGTGGAGAGTGGAACTGATGGAAGGCCAAAGGTGAAAGACGCCATTGACTTCTCCCCAGTGAAAATATGTGGGGAAAATTAGAAGAAGAAAAAAGGGCATTTTACACCATTCCAGAGAATATCTTCGTTTATCGAGGAATGTTGCAAGGAAATACAATATTTTGTCATAACAAAAAGCACAGTGTTGAGCAAGTCTTTCGACAGGGTTCGAAAGGGTTTTGCCCAGTCCTCATTTCTTATCACAATTCACTTGTATTCTCTGAATTACCAAATAAGCTCTGCTTTGGCAATCTTCTCATTCTCCATAATACAACATTCATTTTCATTCTAATTTGATTGGCAAAACAACAGCGCAAAAGCATGCGGAAAGTGCGCAAAAAGCTCACACGGGGCAATTATTCGGCACGCAAAATGTTTACCTTGTATCTCTCGAAGCCTTTGAGATGCTCATCACTGAGATACTTGTAGTGGAACATTTTCGACAATCACTCAAGATCGACAGGTGAAAGATGCGGTGTGCAGAAGTTATCACAAAAGTGTCATGAGATGATTTAGCACTGGATGATTGCAGAGACCACAAATCGTTGAAACTTCCTCGAGACACTCTCTCTGGACCTCAATTCACTCGCAAAAGCACATTTCCGGTCTGGCACTTTAACTCGCTTATTTAGAATCTGTTGGCGGAGGATTTGAGGACAGTGCGGAGATGAGGAGGAGCGCTTTTTTTTTCTCAAGATTGAGAAATGTGCGTTGGAGAAGAGAGAGAGAGAGACAGAGACAGAGAGAGAGGCGGAAAGGGGGAGATAATCACACTCGCTGGGCGGTGTGAAGAGTTGAGTATATGTATTTCCCGAGTGTGCTCAGCTTGCCGGTCACTGATCAACTGAATGACTGGCAGTCGGGCAGCTAAAGTCTCTGTGGCGCGGAAAAAAGTCGCTCCTCAAGTCTCTTATTTGTGAATTACACAAAATTATTATATTGTTCCCATTGTACAAACACTCTTCTTCTCTATGTGTGTGGGATTCTCCCTCTATGTTCAATTCCAGTCAGAGAGAGAGAGAGAGCGAATGCCCGCGATAAGACGGAAACATAGCAAAGCAGTGTTAAAGCATTACGTTGAAAAGCGCTAATGAGTTGTGGGAAATGTGCTAAAAAATTGCCTCGGGCCAATTAATCATTTGCGAATGTCGTTATCGAAAAACCGCCCAAAGCAGATCGAACGATTCAAACGAATCAATCTCGCTCTCTCAATTTCCAGGCGGAATTGTCGCGGTCAAAGGTCACGCAGCATTTCCATATCAGCACCGCACTTGCTCGCGGCATGCCATCGCCAAGAGGAGGCCAATGTGTGCATCTATTTCGGTGGCTATTGACTGAGTACAAACACACGCACACATTCTGGACGTTTGCTTGCCGTCACGCGTGAGTACAACCGTCAATGGTCTTGAAGGAATTCCCATTCAGAGGAAGCAACAAACAGTTTTTTTTTGCGCGCGTTCAACAGTGATAAACAGCCAAATATCAACACGATGGCAATTGAGCCGCGACATTCACTTATTAGCAATTGTTAGGCTGCCAGAGCGATCCTCAAACATTCAACAGTACACAGTCAGAGCATTACAGTCTTGCAGACACGAAGATTTTCACTTTATTTCACTATAATTTTACACATTTTATTCAATACCAAAGAGCGGATATCAATGATAGGAAATGCTGTACAGCTCAGCGCAAGTAATTAATAATTCTATTCACAAATGAGTGCATTTATTGCATGTCTTTGGATCATTTTAATCAGTCGATTAATAAACCAAGATTTAATAACTGAGGAATATTTCAGGATGAATGAGTGTATAAATTTACAGAAATTATTTAATATTTATTTTAGCTGCACTATCTCCCCCTTGTTCATTACAAAATCTCTTGTAATATCGCGCAATTATCTTAAGTAGAGCGTGGAATTCACTCGGACTCTTATCTACATTACTTTTAGTCAGGTAATTAGATTCCATCGACAGGTATTCGTTGGCAGACATACTGGAGAATCAGAGGAACGTGCTGGTCTCCTGGGCCGAGAGACCCTCAGCCTCCAGCCTGGTGAGGATGGTGCGGTAGATGTCTGGCGTGAAGGGCAGCACGACGCCTCTGTGCTGGATCTCTCCGTCCAGGATCATCTTGGCGGCGATGGCGGCCGGGAAGCCGACGGTCAGAGCCATGGCAGAGTGACCGCCGCTGACCGCCGGCTGGCCATAAACCACGAAGTTGATGCCGCGCTCTTCGCGTCTGCCGTCACTCCAGCGAATCCCGACTTCGTGACGCAGAATCACGAGATCCCGCTCGTGCTCACTGAACGCCAGCTTGTGCGACAGGTAGTGACTGAGAGTGTCCAGCGGTGTGACCATTTTCCTCACCGGAATATCCTCCAGCAGCCCGAGTTGCTCGATTCCAGCGCTGTTGCCGATCCTCTCGGCCAACTTCTGCTTCAGGTTCTCGTAGAAGATGCTCGTGTCCGCCAGTCCCAGCAGATTCACAATCAGCTCTCTCCACGTGATCTCCGGCCCGTTGGGATGCAGCATCGCGTGCGGTTCGGTGTCGATGAGTCCCAGCAGTTGCATCTCCTTGATGCACTCCGAAAAGCCCTTGTAGCGAATTGTGCCGCGCAGGCACGTGTGCACCTGATTGCCTAGGCCATACAGATGGGAGTACTTCGTGGAGTCCCTGTTGGGGAAGCCCTCGAGGGCGAAGCCCGGCAGGAAGGTCAGATCACGCGGTGTGGACATGAGATCTCCACCTCCAGAGATCTCCACCACTTGTCCCTTGCTGAGGTACTTCGCGGCCGAGAGCGTGTTCAGGAGCGCTCCTCTGGGCGACCAGGAGAACTTGTAGCGCAGCGGATTGTCGGAGTTCTCAGGAGCCGGAAGACCACCACAGTAGCTGACGAATGACTCAATGGTGCCGCCCTGTTGCTGGACATTGTGGAAGCAATCCAGCGCGAGGAAGTGATCGATGCCCGGATCCAATCCGACTTCGTTCATCAGCGTCACTCCAGCGGCTTTCGCCCTGCAATCAGAGAGGTTCTATTCTTCTTATCTGCTCGTGCATCTGCAATAGAAAGCTGATCACTTACTCATCATTGAGTGCCAGGACTTCGTCGTTCACGTAACTCGCCGTGACGAGATGCGTGTTCCCGTGCACGCAGTGCTTGGCCACGAGGCCGTGCAGAGAGTAGGGCAGCAGGGAGACCACGAGATCGCTCTCCGCGCAGAGTTCCGCCAGGTGATCCTTGTTCTCGTGCACGTCCAGATACACGCTGTCCACGCCGGGATAGCGATCAGCCAGGCGATCGCTCTCCTCCTTCAGATGCGAGCAGACCTTGATGTTGATCTTGTCATCGCGATGGAGATACTCAACCAGAGGCGCCGAGACGAAGCCGGCGCCCAGAACAACGACGCTCTTCTTGCCCTCCATCGAGCATTCGCTCTTGTGGCGCGATCGGCTGCTCTCCCTCAGCTCGCTGATGTACTCATAGTCGGGCGTCAATTTCCCATTGCTGGTGATCAGAGCCTGTGGAAGTGCGAGCAAAGAGACTTATCAAACTAATCCCTCGGACAGTCAGAGTCGAACTGTATTACGTGGAATTGTGTTGATTAGATAATAGAAGCGATGCTTGGGGAAATTTTTTGAAACACACACGATAAGCCCAATAAAGTGCTCTCACGCGATGTGCGATAACAGAGCATATCGCCAGAGTTCTCATCAAATAAAATTTCCACAGATCCCTCGAGATTGATTACTTACGCCATACACTGGCCCTGAGAAGCTGTGCGCCTCCAGCGGCTTCGTGGCGTCACTCTGCAGGATGTCCATGGCGAAGGGATAGAGTAGATCGCCGAAGAAGTCCGTGGACTCCCTAGGCAGCTGCGTGGGCATGTTGTCGATGGAGCACACCAGCACTCCGGGACCCTTGAAGCTCTTCGTGTCCTTGTTCCTGTCCGCGTCGTACAGGCAGAAGGGCGTGTCGATGGTCGTGCACTCGTTCATGAACTCAATGGAGCCGCCCGGATCCGCCGAGATGTCGCAGATGGCCAGCATCCTGTGCGGCAGCGCCGGCGCGCCGCGGCTCGTGGGCAGCCAGGGCGTGTTGGCGGGCCGCAGGAGATTCTTCGCGTCCGGAATGGTGAGCAATTTCGGACTGCCGACAGCCCAGTAGATCCCATTGACGATCACCGAGGCGAACGGCGCGATCTTCTGGCTGAACGTCGAGATGTATCGCTCTGGATACTGATCGTACTCTTGCGGATCGAATCCGCCACCCTCGCGTCGCTCCAGATGATCCGACCGACTCACCTCGCAGCCGTACAACTTGTTCTGATCTGCAGAAGGCAATGCCATTAGATGCTGAGCCACACAATGACGTCACTCTCTCACTCTCACTCACTTCCGTGCTCAGACACTTTCTGCAGCATCTCCGGCGGCACGTACTCGATGGGCAGCTCGGCGAACACTTCCTGTGCGCCCTGCGACACGTTGCCCGATCCGGAGAAGACGAACGTCAGCGGCCCGATGGAGTTGGGCATCATGCCCAGCGAGATCTCGTAGCCGCAGTCGCGGATCGCCTGGCGCGCCATGGAGGAATTGCGGTAGTTGTGCGCCGGACCCACGTGCATGAAGGGCGTGTGGTGGCCCAGCGCCAGCAGACGCAGCCCCAGGCCGTGCAGGATGTTCACCATTCCGGCCACGCCGGCGTACTTGCCGAAAGCGACGAGTCTCTGCCCATTCGCGTCCATGATCTTCTCGTAGTCCAGCAAGCGGATGTTCTAGAGAACGAGAAGTCAACGATCAATCTCCTTTCAAATTAGCAATTAAAAGCTCTGCGAGCTTTAAGTCAAGGGGGAGATATTGAGGTGTGAAAAAGTGTATAAATTAGCAGAAATATGAATAAATTTGCGTATTTGTTTCAATTGTCCTAAGATATCCTTGTAATTTCCTTGGTAATTTCCTAGCTTATAGGCTTTAAAGGTTGTTGATAAAGCTGTTAAGTTCATTTCTAAGATATTTAGATAAAAAATAACTAAAAAAATTCACATAAAAACACTGCTTTTTAGCGTCAAACTCGTTTTTCTACCATCATTTTTGGTTCATAACTTCACAATTTATCGAGAATTGATCAGAAAAAATGCCGTTGAAGTAAAGCGTTAAAGATTTTTCAATTAAATTCAATTTCAACCTTTCTTTTCGAGTGCAATAAGGTTGCTCAAGAGGCGGAATTTCGCGACAAAGAAGCATCGCATCAGTGTCATAATCGCGCCCCATTCAAATCCCATTGAGGGCTATAAATAGAGCTTTCGCGACAGGCTCAAAGCGCTCAAAGCGAATGCTCGGAAGCGCGTGAATCCGAGAGCTGATATGGCCTTAAGTTGTAAGAAAAATTCTCAAGATTCTTATCTCACAGAGGGCTTGATAAGCTCATTCCGCCGCTCTCACGAGTTGTTTACGCGCGATGTGTTTGATTTGCTCGACATTCACAAAATTTATTTCCTTCCTGACTTTAAGCTTATTCACCTTCTCCAGGATGGCGTCGAGCAGCGGCATGTTCGTCTCCTGTGCCTTAATTGTATGCGAGAAGATGCAGTACGTCTTGGATGGGATTAGTTGGTCGGCGGGCACTTGCTTCACGCCAAAAATCACGGACGCCTCACTGATGTCCTCCTGCACCACAGCGCCGGCATTCAAGTACGACTGCAAGAGAAAAGGAGGGAGTTTTTTTTTGCTACGTCTTTCTGCAGGTCAGAATGAGCAGCGCTCATTGTGACGATAACCCCAAGAGAGTGGGTAATCTAATCAATGTTGGGGCCTCTTTTCAGCACCAATTGACAATGATTTCATGTGCGTGGCCATATTGGCCAATTGATGCTTCAATTCGCACAAGATTCACGCGTGGAAAACACCTGGAAGTCCAGCCTTGCCACTGAGAGATAAGGCATAAGTTAGTTGTTATTGTTACAAATCATCGTGGAAAACAAGGCGAAAAAATGATGGAAACGACGCACAAATGATTGCGGGAACTTCTCGTGGTACTTGAGAAAATCCTCTTGCACGAGATTTCTCGTGGAATTTACCACCCACTCTCAGCGGAACAGGCCATAAATTGCCCCATATCTCTGGGCGGGAAGGAACAGTTGATGAAGCCCATGACATTCCCGAGAGCCACTGCGTATCTCCGAGTGACAATATTCGCACACTCCCCCGATAAGAGGCTGATAACAGGGCCACTTCTGAGGCCCATAGGATCACTCGGCGCTCTTAAATGTTACCTGCATCGGATAGGCGCGTCGATTGGACGGCTGCACGATGACTTTCACGCCCTTCTTGGTCAGGCGCTTCACGTGGCTGGGATTGAAGGGCGCCCGACGCTCCCACACAGACTGATCCTCGCGCCGGATGGCCAGGACTTTGCCCGTCTGCAAGTGGAAAAACACCACATGGAATATTCCCAGCGATAGGGCTTAGTTTTTTCCTCCTCCTCACATGCTTGAAGCGACACGAGATGCTCATAGCGAATGGATTGAGGCTCCTCAAGTGCAGATACATCTTCACCACAGATCACTTTCTCTCTCACACTTGTTCTTCTATCCTCTCTGGCTGCTCACACACAACTGATCACCCGTCCGGACGATGAGCCAGCGCTGGACGTGGCGAGAAACATTGATAATGATAAGACAAGTTTGTTGCTATTCACTCGCAATTCGGCATTGACTCAGGCCTTCGCTTGGCGATCCTACTGCAAATTTCACGTCGTATCACACTCTCGCACAAATGCCCCCAGAGATATTATTGGACAATTGAGAGATAATCGGCAAATTCACTGGAAGATTCAACAGGAAAACCGTTAAGTGGATTTGAAGGTGTGCCGAAACAGCCGCGAAGCAGGCAAAACACAAGTGAAACATCAACATTTTCCATTATTTTTCTCAATATATTTTCTTTCTCCACTCTTCTTTTCTTTCCAAATATATCATCTGTATACTTAAATTACCACCTATCATTGTGACTCTTGGTGTGGATTTGAGTGGCACAAAGCAGTGTTCAGAGGCTTTTCTTTTCTCTCTCTCTTTCTCGCAATTGGAAAACTGAGAGAGAAATGTTGCAAACATGTTTCATGTTTCATAAATCATGTTTCAGGACAATATTATATATTTTATTTTCCTTCGCAATACTCAAAAAAGTCATTATAAAACATCGTCATTTAGGATCTTTCAGCCTAAACTACACCTCGAAATTTTGGTTTAAGAGACAACAACGGAAAATGTGGGTTTTTTTCTTATTTTCATAAGTTAATAAATTATTTCTATAAAGCCAAACTCAATAATTTTTCCTTTTTGCACGTATTTTTCCCACCCTTTGTGCCCTCAAGCCGCGCTAAAGCGGGGAAGGATTGATCAGAAATTCACCATCAATTCGCATGAAAGGATGTTTTTATGGGAAAACAATAATAATAATAATAATATATATTTTGTACAGTTTTGCACACTCCAATATTGGAATCAATGCGAATTATTTATAGTGTGTTTTTGTGTGACTCTCCAAATTACAAACGGAAATATTACTTGCTAAGCGCGATTATTCCACCTGATAATCCACTGGGTAATCATTCTCCTGGCACGCGTGCGTGCGTGACACTTACAGCGCCGCCGCCTCTGGGATCAGCGACGCGAAGAACGAGAGCACGAAAGTGCGCAGAAAGGCAATCACAGGAGTTCTGTTCGTCTCATCGCGGACAACCGCGTCGGACGCCTCGTCCTCGGCGTCAGTGTTGTTGTTATTGTTGTTATTGATCACCGGCGGCCGCGGCTCCAGCGGCGCCCTGTTGTTGTTCGCCTCCGCGCCGCCACCCATGTGGCGAAACACGCCCGTGTGATAGCAGTAGATGAGAATCCCTATCGCCACGACAATTAGGCACCGCGTTGGTGATGAGTAGAAGTACACGAGGGTGATGAGGACCATCAGGCGGCTGAAGGCGTAGAAGATGTCCAGCCAATCGCGCTGCTCCGGCCCCTCGTCGCGCACCAGATTGGGGAAGCGCGGCTGTGGCGCCTCCGCCACAGGCTCTGGCGCCGCCTCGGCGGCTGGCGCCTGATCGGCCGCAGGAGGAACGAAGGCAGGCGGCTGGTAGGCCGCCTGTGCGCCGGGGCGCGACATGAGACTCACGTACTGATTCATGTAGTCCACGTACGCCTGCTGCAGCCACTGTTGGTAGGCCAGCTGCTGCGCCACCAGGAAATTGCCTGGCTGCGGCATCCCGCCGAATTGGCCCACATGCGCGTCCTGCGCCGCCGCATTCACTCCCGGCATCGCACTGGCTTCCGCCATCGGCACTTGATCGCCGCCCAGAGCGCGCCTTTGCCTGCAAGAATTGGTGCATTTTATCGACAGGAAGCTTTTATTCTTTGTAATAAAGTTAAATACTGCAAAATCTTAAGGAAATCATGATAAAAATAGTGCTTTAATCTTATAGAAATGCTAGAATACTATGAAGAAACTTAGGATTTGATGCAAGTTTACTTTCATAACTTATAAAATACGTTGTTATAGTTATGAATTCGTAAAAATGCGTTGTAAGATTGCGATTCATAACATTTATAAAAGTGAGGAAATAAATGGGTTTTAACAGCTGAAATTCGTAATTAATAAACTCGTTAAAAAAAAAAACGTTAAATTACAACCCAAATTCATAGCTTTTACGAATTGAAATACGAAAGTTACAACGACTCAATATTTTTTTTAAGTTGTTATAAAATCAATTAAAATGCAAATTCTTTCGATTGAAAGCGTCTTTATGGAATCCTTTGATGGAATTAAATCAATAAATTTGATTGAAAAACCAACAATTGCCACAGAATTGGAAGATTGAGAGATTTTATCAATTTTCCGCCCCTCAAAAAAACACACACAAACAAACAATTTAGCAGCTGATCAATCTTATGATTTGGCAAGATTTTCCACATGTTACCCACAATCTCTCTAATCACGCAAAATTATTATCAGAGAGCGAGAGAGAAAAATACAATCGTAAAGTAGCATTTAGCATTGCCTTGGTTTTCCCCAACAAAGACAAGCTTTTTCAAGAAAGTGCGAGACAAGCTGTGCGATGATGCAATGATGGCAATTAAACATTTTTTTCATTGGTACACGTCGCTGCGACTCTTTCTCTCTCTCTCTCTCTAAATATGCCTTTTCTCCATGGAATTTCGATTTCACGAGTGTCGATTAGACATAAATAAATCTCGTACACGAGAGATAAACAAAAACTAGCAAAGGAGGTTCTTTTTTAGCTGTTCTGATATCACTTCAAAAGCCCAAATACATTATTATTATTATTCTCATTGCATTACTCAATGTTTCTACTTTTGATAACACCACAATATTCAAAAGAAGAATTGGGACAAAAGTCTGCGAAACTTTCCAAGACATCGCATGTCGATAACACGCACGCAAGCGTTGATTTTTCCATGAAAATCAACCACTTTTCACTGCTACAAACACTCGTGATCGTGACACAATTCTCACCTCAATCCTTCGCTCTCCAGCGTCGTTCTGCTGTTGTCCTGCGCGCCTTTCTTGGCGCCTTCGCCACTTCCCGCGTCGCTGCCGTGCGGATTCATCTTGGGCGTGAACACGAGATGAACTGTGTGAGTCTCCTGGCCCTCATACTGCCTCAGGACATCCTTCAGCACGACTGTGTCGTTCAACAGCTGCCCTGAATAGATCAACTTCTGCTCCTCCGTGCTCTGAAATGGTCAGCAAAACACTCTTCTCAATTTCCCACTGATTGCACACCAAATTCCTCCTTATCAACTTGCCAACGAGTGGAGAAATACTCGCGCCCAATTGTGTGAGTGTGATTTGATAAGAGCATTATCACATCCTCGCACGATTCACGTCTCGAGCACCGTGTCGATCTAGCAAATTTCCCCGCCTTTCCGGGCGTGAAACTGTCTCGACGACTAATTTACCGAATTTACCCCAATTTTTGCACCTTTTCAACGCAAATTATTGTATTTATACAGGTTGTTATTGAGTCTATCTAAAAGACTTTTTAATAAAATATTCTTGGCTTGATTATTCACATTGACATTGAATTTGTTTGAACAAAATTGTCCTGAAACCATTAAAAAATTAAATAAACAGTAAGTTTACTTAATTTTTAACGTATTTCATTAAATATTTGACTACAATTTGAAGTTTATCGTTCATAAAATAGAGAGAATAATATCTTTATGGGTATTTCAACATGAAAACATGTAAAACATTGCTTAATTGCTTCTCGATTAAAGCCATAAGTCTGTCGAGAACTTTACTGTATTTCTTTTAGCGCATTAATTAATGAAATTGATTCAATTAGCGCTGAATTCGGCTCAAAAGTGACCAACAACAGCCAAAAAACCCACCAGAAGAGCTTCAAGCGCGAGTTATTCAAGCTGACGAGCCAAAATCGTAAACATTTTCGCCTTTGACGAGTAAACAACAACAATTTCAGCCCGTTTTTTGCAGTGTGCCATTGAACTGGAGGTTTTGTCACCCAAAGACGTCTTGCTTAGCGGGCAAAATATGCGGAAGTGGCCGCTGGTACTCACAGGTTTGCACGGATAGACTTCCGAGAGATATCCCTTGAGCCTCTTGATGGTCCAGGAGAGTTCGCACTTGATGGTCTGATCCTCGAACTGCTGATTGGGCGCCTTGACAATCAAAGTCACGGGAATTGTGTCCATTGTGGCGCCCCAAAACGCCCCCACGTCGCACTCGCCTCTGCCCACCGGGAACACACTCCCTGATCCGGCGCCGCCCGTTGGCCGGAAGTGGCTGCGCGATGATGAAATACACGAAAATCCAGAGATGGAAGTCAGGCGACAAAGTTGACACTTGCGGAGATTCTCTGTTGATTTTCCTCCAGCGAAAAAATCACACTTGCTGCTGGCAAATGATGCAATTTCCACACAATCGCGACACACGGTGATCTTGTGCTCCTGCTTGACTGATAATTTCTGCACTCAATTGCGTCTCTCGGGCACTTTTTCTATATAAATAAATGAACAATTAACTTTTTCACGATTCACTCACAGCTATTTGGACGATTCTCATTGGCCAGCGATCGCTAGTTGCGCGTGTTGGCGCGCGTGGCGCTGCGGTGTGCAGCTGTTTTCCGGAAAAAGCACGACTCATCCGGGAATTCCCGACATTTCTCGAGTCACACTCAAATCAGCTGTTTTTCGGAACATCAAAATATTTTGGTTTTTTTCACAACCAATTGTGATCAATTTTTCTCGTATTTTCACATGTAATTCGACCATGCCACGGTGTAAAATCGTCACAAGTCTGTACGATAAGTCCTTCAACACCCTCCAAAGTGTCCTGTGGAAGTGTGCTGATGCCCTGGACCGCGAAAATACGGGGCTGAATCGCTCCTTCCTCGTCGCGCAAGTCAATTCTTACATCACTGACAATCTCTCCGCCAAGTAAGTCATCCGCTGGATGGACTGGAAGTCTCCATCTCCTGTAATCTCACTCACCTTCTGCCCCTTTGCAGCCTGCTTGAGGAGCTGATGGAGCGTCAGGATGGCACATCTCACATGTACTTCATGTTCCTGCTGCGTCCGGATTGCAGGAAGTTCACAGCCAGAAACATCATGCTTCCCTACTCTTCCTGGGAATCGATCTTCTCCACGCACTTCCGCAACATTGTGGTGCTGAATCTGTCCCTCTCCTGCACAGATTACATCCTGCAATTTGTGCCGCGCTACTGTCCAAATCTCGAGGTGCTGAACGCCACTTGTCGCTACGAGAGAATGCGAATTGGCCTGAATGCCGCCGCCTTCTCGCTGTCCGTGACAGACGCCGGCCTGGATCACCTGTGCGAGTGCCAGAAGCTGCGCATCCTGGTGGTGAATGAGCCCAGGAGTCAATCGCGCGGCATCCAGACCAGCATCACGTACAACGGTCTGCGGAAGCTGCTGCGGAACGTGCAGACGCTGGAGAGCATCACGTACTCGGATCTGGGGAGTGTGATTGGGAAGGGCATGGAGAACGTGGACAGCCTTAATCTGCGCATTGTGCGCCACTTCAACGCCACCGGCGACACAATGGCGGAAATTCTGCGTCTCTGTCAGCGTCTCGAGAGTCTCTATCTCACCTTCTTCAACAACACACCGCACGAGGATGTTCTGCAGCAAATCTTCCACTTCCAGCCGCGCCTGCGGAGTCTCCAGGTCATCAACTTCAACTGCCATCGCTACACACGCAACCTCTTCACGTCCGTCGGCGCCGCGCTGCAGGAATTGCACATCGCTGAACACCACGAACCGCTGCGATTCGCCGAATTGCTGGTCATCGGACGCCTCTGTCCGCGCCTGCGACACTTCACCATCTGCAACTACAGCGACAATCAGCCGCAAATGTGCGCACCGCCCAACTTTGGCCAATTCAGCCACCTGGAGATCTTCGAGATCGGCTGGAGTTGCATCAACTTCCCCTTCGTGATGCTCTTCTGCCTGCAGAACGCCCAGCACTGCCTCCGGAGTCTCACGGTGACGCATCGCGTGTGCGACAAGATCACCTTCGTCGATGACTTCCTGCTGAAACACTTCACATTCCACGCCATCCAGGAGATCACGATCTCCTCGTGCTATCGCTTCAGTCGCACGGGCCTCGAGGCGCTCATTCAGCGTCACGACACGCTGCAGTGCCTCAATGTTCACTGTCCGGACGACTGTGGCGACATTCACGACTTCATTCGCAACAACAACCTCGATCTGGTGTTCATCAACAAACTCCATCAGCTTCTCGAGTGAAAGTTTAATGTATTTCAAGAGCACAGGGATCTTCACATCATCATCAATTCCTTCTTCACATTCACTGACGCCACGTGGAGAAGGCGGAACTGCAAGAGAAATCATCATCATCAACGTCAATGAGAAAGAAGCAGAAGTCATTCATCAACTTCTCACCCTCCAAACTGCATCTTCGCCTGATTCGCATTGTTGTTCTGCGCCAAATTCCCAAAAGTCATTCCAGTATCTGAAGATCCGAGCGTGGCGAACAAATTGCTCTGCTGCTGATTCGACGACGCATTGGCAAAAGCTGTGCGCAACAACCAAAGATCAACAATCTTCTTATCTTCTTATCGTTGATTAATACTTACAACTTCCTGTATTGGCAAATGATCCAAATCCCGAGGGCTTCAGTGATGAACCAAAAGTCGCCGCGCCACCAAACGTTGGCGATGATCCAAACGTCGCGGGACCACCAAAAGTCGGTGAAGAGCCAAAAGCAGCTGAAATTGTAAATTGCAATTCAATTTAAAATTGAATAAATGATGCGTAAATATGTTAAGTAAATTGACCACTCGTTGCAACATTACAGAAATCGTATTTCACTTCGTAAAAGCTACCAATTTGCTGTTGCCACTTTAGCGCTTTTTACAGCTTATATTGGTGGCCGCCCGGCGGCGCTAGTGTAAAGTAAGAATGTAAGATGAACGAGAAGGCGTTGTAAGGCAAAGTTGGGAGTTTATTTAATACGAGTTTCAGCTATTAAACGCGAAAAATGAATTCAACAGGGCCAATTAGTGAATTCCAGTGACAAGACATCTTCATCCGCAACTGTCCCTGACATTGGACGTGTTTCCGATGAGATTCTTGAAGGATTTCGCTAGCCAGATTGTCAGGGAAAATGTTTTGTTGTGACATTCTAACATAATCGCGTTTTCGTGCTCAGAAAGAACAAACAGAAACCAAAAGTACTTTTAAATGCTTTCTAAACGCAATTGGTTTCCTGGGAAAAGGATCGAAACGATCGTAAAGTTGCAACGAACGGTGAGTTTGAATAGATTAAATCTGACTTACACTGAGGCTTTGCGAAGGCAGTCGGCGATCCGAATCCCGTTTGCGCCACTGAAGGTCCTCCTTGGGCGAAAGCGCCGCCAGAAGGCGATCCAAAAGGCCTCCCAAAGGCCGAAGGCGAGCCAAAGACTGAGCTCGGCTGCTGCTGCGGCTGTTGCTGACCGAAGCCAAAGCCTGGCGATGCCGCGGCAGCCGCATTGTCACCACCGAAGATCGACGTTTGCGCCTGTGGCGTTGCCGGCGTGGCGCCAAAAACAGAAGATCCTCCAAAGACTGAAGATGTGGATTTCGTGGGTGTCGATCCGCCAAAGATGCTTCCAGAATTCGAATTGGGACTCGCCGGTGTGCCAAAGACATTCCCAGTCGAAGCTGGAGCGGTTGTCTGGCCAAAAACACCGCCGCCGCCGCCGCCAAAGATGCTCGTTGTGTTGGCATTGGCGGCGCCAAAGACTGACGAGCTCTCGCTGGGCTGCGCTTGGAAGCCGGTAGAGCCAAAAATCGATCCTCCACTCGCGCCAAAAGGCGTCGCAGCGACAGTTGCAGCAGCTGTGCTGGCGGGAGTGAAACTGAACGGAGTTGCGGAAGTCGTTGTGACACTGGCAAATGGACTGGCGACGGTTGTTGTCGCTGAGACAGCGCCAAACGGCTGCACTTCAGTCTTCACGACACTGCTGAAGAGTCCAGAAGGCGGCGAAGTGCTGGTCGTTGTCGTTGCGGCGGCTGTTGCAGTGCCAAATTGCAGTTTAAAAGGCTCGGCGGCGGTTGTTGCAGCAGCAACAGTTGTGGCTGAACTGCCGCCAAAGATTGACGCTGCTGTTGTTGTTGCTGTTGCGGCACTGCCAAAGCCTCCAATTGAGAACACCGAGAATGGCTTGGCATCTGCCGGCTTTTCCGCTACAGTTGTTGGCTGACAGAAGCTGAGATTCTTCAACAAGTTGTCCGCATCGAAAGCCGTCGAAGAAGTGGTCACACTGGCTGTTGTCTTGGCAATTGTCGTTGCAACTGTTGCTGCTGCAGAGGAAATTATTGTTGGCACAATTGTTGTCGTGACAATTGTGTCTTTAACACCCGGAAGGACGAATTTGAATCCCGAATCCACCTTCTTCGGCACCTCAACAATCTCCTTCTTCACCACTGTTGTTGGCACAACAGTTGAAGTCGCTGCCGAGCTGACTGTGCTCAAGACTGACGCCTCAAGAGCCGCCATTGGCGTCGATATTCCCGCTGATCCTCCGCCGAAGGACAAATTGAGCACTTGCGCCGGCGTCGCACTCGCCGCCGGCTTCTCACTTTTCACACCATCCGCCGTCAGTGATCCGAAAGACGACAAACCGCCGAAGATCGATGCTGTGGATGAAGCTGTGGAAGCTGCAATTTGACTGAAGATTCCGCCACTGGTTGCTGGACTGGAGGATGCGATCGCAGGAGCCGCGAAAGCTGCCTTGTTCCCCTGATTGAACACACCGAGTGGCGATTTCTGGATGTTGAAGGCAAACGGTGGCGTCTTGTTCAAATCACCACTTTGCTGACTCTGCTGCGCATTCTCACTCAATCCCGTCGTCGTCTTGCTGGTCAGCAGAGCAGCCACTGTTGGACTGGCAACAGAAGGTTTTGCAGCAATTGCCGCTGTTGGTTTCGGTGCAAAGACAATTTCCTGCTGCTGCTGCGGAGGAGGAGGCTTGTTCTCCTCACTCTCCGTCCTCGTTGAGGTGAAGATGAAACTCTTTCCGTCACTCTTGGGCGGGAAAATCGACGGCACAGTGGCCGCGAAGGGTTTTCCCACCTCAAAACCACCCCCAAGAGATGGTTTAGTCGCCACCGGAGCGGGTTTTGGTGGCTCCACCACGGGCTTCGATGCCTTTGGCGTGGCCTTCGCCACAGGACGCGTGGGCGGAACCTGCTTGGGATCCACAACAACCTTCACGAACTGCGGGAAACTCTGCTGCTGTTGCTGTTGCTGTTGCTGAGTCGCTGTCTGGAGAGTCTTTGCCTTCGCCGCAGCCTCTCGACGCTCCTGCACAATCACCGAATTCACACCCTTTCGCTCCGGTCGTTGCGGATGAATTGTCCTGATCTCACGATCCTTGAGCACCGCCGAGAGTCTCTTCATCTTCGACGCACAGAGTTTCCTCGTGTCCGCCTGAACTTCCTCCACCAGCGCCAGCGAGACAACAGAATCCGAGAGTGAATCAAAATCCTCAACACTCGCCTTCTGATTCACCTTGACGTTCATCTTCTTCCTGATCTCATTCAGCCTCTTCCGCTGACCCATCAGAATCTCCCGCTCAATGTTGATGGTCTGATAAATCACCTCCATTCGCGGCACACGCATGCGATCCTTGCTCTGCTGCTTCCTCTCCTCCTCGTGCAGCACCCAAACACTGTCAATCTGCTTCTTGATCTCCTCCAGGTGAATCCTGTTGCTGGTCAGCATGCCCTGCAGCTTATTCAACTGCCTCCTGTTGGTCAAATTGGCGCCACTGTGCAGATTCACATTCGTGTACGTCGGCTTGGTCACAACTTCCCACTTGCTCTTCGCCTCTTCCGTCATCATGAACGCCTCATTGAGTGTCATCGTGAGAATCCTCACGTCAGCACTCAGCGATTCGATGCTCTCCATGCCTTCCACCGTCAATTCCGTCAACTCTCGCAACTGCTTCGACATGTTGCTCAGCGTCTCCTGACTCCCAATCTGCGTGTCAATGTTCTGCGAGCGCTTCATGGGATCACTGAGATCCTTCTCAAAGGCCTGCATCTCTTCCATGATCATCTTCTGAATCACAGCATTATTCTCATCGTCCAGCGGAATGACATTCGACGCCTTCGCCACGCTCTTCTTCTCCGCCTGGGCGGCAGAATAGCTGGGCGGCACGGTGATGAGTGGCTTGTTCTGGTCAGCAGACGGAGCAACAGCTTTTGGGGCAGTCACAGTAGGAGGCGCCGCGCTGGGCTTGACAAAGGGCGTTCCTGCCTTCGGCACATTCTCACTGAGCCCAAAAGACGCCACTGGCTTGCTCACGACCGGCTGCTGAGCGACATTCCCAAAGATGCTCGGCGCCTTGAAGGCTTCAGTAGTGCCGAAGAGTCCTTTCGCCTTCTGCGCCACCATTGGCGTTGATGTGGCGGCGGGAGGGATTGCGAACGGAGTCTCCGGCTCCTTCGCCACAGCCGCCGGAACGCTGGCAGCGATGGGAGACGGAGTCTGAACAGGAGGCTGCTTCTGAGGCGTCACAGAGACAAACTCCCCCAATCCCGAAGTGTCCGCAAGCGGTCGAGGTGGAGAACATATTCCGGGCACATTCTGAATGGTGTTGAGGATGTTGAAGGACACCAGAACGCCATCCGTCGAGAGCAAGTGAATCATCGGCATCACTGGCATCTCCTGCTCACCAACAACCACCTGATGCGTGCATCCCGTCTCCAGGCAGAAGCCCAGCGGATAGCTCTCCTGCTTCTTCGCCGTCAGCGGCAATTCCGCGCGCGCCTCATCCAGCATGCACCACTGTCGCCACACGGGCGCATCTCCGGCCTCATTCGTGGCCAGGACGCCCACTTCCATGCTGTTGGCCGACGCCATGAGCAGCGTGTTCCAGGGCAGGATGTGGATGAGGTACACCTGCGTCTGGCGCGGCCCGGAGCCGCTGTAGCAGATGTCTTCGTAGTTGATGCACGAGATCTGGCCACTCTTCGGCGCATTGACGACGTAGAGAACCGGCGGCGCGGGTTCGTTCAGCGCCGCAAAGGCCACAGCGAACTGATAAGTCGACAGCCACTGAATGGAGATGGCCAGCAGTGGCCCAGCTTGAGTGTCCAGCGGACAATCAATCACCCGGATGGGCTTGAGATCGGGTTTGTACTGAATCAACTTCCCATTCGGACATCCCGCCACGATTTGCTTCCCCTTGGGACTCCAACAGACACTGGAGATGGTCTGGGCCTTGTCCACCGTGTGGAACTCGAAGCCCTGCTCCTTCAGCACGAACATCGACAGCGCGCCGTTCTCCAGGCAAACGGCCAGGACGTTCGAGATGGCGGGATTCCACGCGAGTTGCTTTGATCGCACGCCAGTGTCCGGCGACAGGCGGATGCTCTGCAGCGTGCGCACGTTCTGCGAGAGGAACGTCTGCACGACGTACAAGAGGATCATCGTGATGCCATTCACGACCACATCCACAGCCAAGATCGTGTTGTCGCAATTCACGGCGATTTGCGTGGCCTCGCTGGGCAGTGGAATCGTCCGAACGGGTGCATTTTCATCCACCACCTTCCCTCCCGTGAGTGCTGACAGCTGAACAACTGCGGAGAACCCAAGAAAAGCCTCAGAATAGCGACACAAAAGGACAGAAAAGAAGGCATCTTCTCACCCTTGAGCTCCGGAAGTGGAGACGCCACGAAAACCAGCCCAAAAGCACTCGCCGTGGCGACCAGCTGACAGTGGGGCTTCACAGTGGCATCTGCCCCAAAGATTTTCACTTTGCTCTGCAATTTAAACTGTACTTCCTGCGAAAAGGAGGAAAATCCCACATCGACATAACCTCAATAACATTCGCCACAGCGTTTTCCGGGCATTTGGCGATATACTCACAGTCACATCAATGAAATCGGGTGCCTTTTCAACCATTTTCACAATTTATCACTATAAAGATGGGATTTTCACCGTAAAATTCACATAAGAGCCAATAATAACAGTTTTACGAAAATTCTCCTTGCGGAACTTGACGCCGAGTAACTCCGCAATTCGCCACTGGCGCTGAATGTCACTTTGGGAACAGTTACGAATTTTCGTAAGCAAAATGAAAAATTTCGAGGGATTTTTCTCATGAAAAACAGGGGAATTTGATTTCAATGCGCCCCCCTCGCGAGGCATCGCGGCGAGATGGGGCGTCGGAGAAGTTTAATTCAATGTTATTCCATACAGTGACAAATGTAGCACGAGAAAATCGATAAAAGCATCCCTTATCAATGCTTTGGCTATACATTATCCTGTGAATTATCAACATATAGAACCCTCCTTACAGTCTAATTTACAATATTTTGGGGAGATGTGAGTGTAAAAAACTTCTTGACTTGGAACAAAGCTACAAAAGATCTCTCCCTGCGGCGCAACTCTTAATCCAATCCATCATCGTTGAGGTCTGTCTTGGGCGGCGGTTTCGGCGCTTCGCCACTCGGCGGAGCGCCCCCAGCGCCGGGGAATCCACCCGGGAAGCCACCTCCTCCCATGCCCCCCATGCCGCCCATGAAGCCCGGCATTCCGCCGCCGGCGGCGCCCAGCTTCTCCAGCAGCTGCACGATCTTCGGGTTGTTTTGATACTTGATGATGTTCGCCGGATTGGTCATGATGTCCTGCAGCGCAGCCGCCACTTCGGGGTCCTTGAATGCCGAGAACAGGTCGTTATCGGCGAAATTGAAGCCTCCACCACCCGGATAACCATCTCCATCGTCATTCTTGCCCTTGTTCTCCTCCGCCGCGCGTCTGTTGGCCTCCTGCGCCTTGCGGACGCGCTCCTGGCGCGCCTTCAGCTGCAGAGAGAGGGAGAAAAGAGATGAGAAAACTCCCAGAAACTCACGCGGCGTCAATTCACCTCCTTCTCCGCCTTCTTGCGCTGCTGCTTCACGCGATGCTGCTCCAGCTTCTTCGCATTGGGCGTCACTTCGCGCAGCCACTCGTCCGCCTCCTCGTCGTAGTCAATCTTGCACGCCTGCCGCAGATCTCTGGCCGCCTCCTCCCAGTTGCCCAGCAATCTGTTGGCCCTGCCGCGGAATTTGTACGCCGCGGCGGAGTCGCAGTTCAGCTGCAGCGCCCTGTCGCAGTCGCGGATGCATGCATTGGGCTTGACGAGCTTCAGGAAGGCCTGGCCGCGCTTGGCGTAGAACAGCGCATTGCCGGGATTCAGGAGGATGGCCTGCGTGTACAGATCGATCGCCTCGTCGTACTTCTGCTCGGAATACGCCGCCGCGGCCTGCGCCCGGCAGTCGCTCGCCCTGTCCATGTCATCATCTGTGGGCTCCTTGCCGGCGTCGCCCATCTCCTGCGGATCGTCCGTGTCCGGATCCACGCAGCCCTCGCGGTCCAGCTCCACATCGGACTCTGGCTCGCTCTCCTCCTGCTGCGCCGTCGCCGCTGCCTCTTCCTCCTCCGGCGGTGGGTTCTCCGGCGGAGCGGCGGCGGCTGGCTTGCTCGCTTGCGGCTGCTCAAAGCTGGGCGCCGCTTCGGGCACGCTGCCGCCCATCTTCACGATGAACTCCTTGAAGAAGCTGAGCTGGGGGATATTGAGGATGGCGGGATTCTGCGAGCAGAAGCCCACAAACATCTTCAGCTTCTTGATCTCCTCCGGACCGATGGGGCACGCCATGATTCCTGGACTGCCTGCAAAGTGTCAAAAACAGCAGCACATTTCGCTGTGATTCTGGACGGAAATAGGCCAGATTGCGTGTGGATAACTACCTGATTTCCTTCCTTGGAGTCTTGTGAAGGCGCTGATGCACTGTTTGGATGCGTGAAAGTGATTTTTCAGCGGTAAACTTGAGGAAATTCCCACGTCCCGGCGACGGAGTCGAGAAGTTTCTAAGATGTCGGCACCACCTTGAATGTTTTGTTTACGTGTGACAGTTGGCGGCGAAGTTCCGGAAAGTGTGTTTTGCGGTGGAAATTCTTGGGAAACTCCGATGGCTGCGGCACCTGCGGAGGAGAATCTTGACCAGACAGAAGTGAGATTACTTCCAGTACACAATCACAAGTGAGAAATTGACCCAAAATGTCTTGCAGTTCGACGAGGATGAGTTCCTGGGCGATGTGCAGACGGAGAGCGCTCAAACGGGACGAAAGCGCCTCTTCAGCAAGGAGCTGCGGTGCATGATGTACGGCTTCGGAGACGACCAGAATCCCTACACGGAGAGTGTGGACATGCTGGAGGACCTCGTGATTGAGTTCATCACGGAAACCACGCACAGAGCGATGGAAATTGGACGAACGGGACGCGTTCAGGTGGAGGACATTGTGTTCCTGGTGCGCAAGGATCCGCGGAAGTATGCCCGCGTGAAGGACCTCCTGACCATGAATGAGGAGCTGAAGCGCGCGCGGAAGGCCTTCGATGAGATCAAGTACGTGGGAACGGAGGGAAAGCCGAAGTAGAATAAATTTTGCTAGGTTATGTTTTTCTAACTCGGCTTTGGCTTTATTGGAATGAATCCGGCTGTCTGAGGGCACTTGGCTGGCCTCTGTGGCTTCTTCTTGCTCTTCGGGCCCTCCACGGGCTCCTCGGGCAGCTCCAGCTGCACCGGCTTCTCCGTGTGCAGCCGGTTGACGTGATCGCAGAGGTTGTCCTTGCGGTGGCTGCTGAAGCAGCAGTGAGGACACTGATAGAGCTTCTTGGGCAGGTGCAGGAAGGCGTGTCGCTTGAGGTTCTTGTTGTGCCGGAAGCGGAAGCCGCACACTTCGCACACGAACGGCTTCTCGTTGCTGTGCGTGGTGAGATGGAGGCGAAGGTTGTCCTTGCTGCGCGAGGAGTGTGTGCAGCCGGCCACTGAGCAGCGCCACAGCACTTCCGTGTGGCTGCTCTTGTGCACCTTGAGCGTCTTCAGGCGACCCGTGCTGAAGCCACAGACGTCGCAGAGTAGCTTCTTCTCCTTTGTGTGCACCAGGAAGTGACTCGTGAGTCCCTGTTTCCACTTGAAGCCCTTGCCGCAGAGGTCACAGATGAAGGGCGTCGCCGAGGAGTGCTTCGGCCTGTGATAAGCTAGTCCGGTGCGCGTGGAGAACCGCGAAGGGCATTCGGTGCAGAAGAACGGCTTCACGTCGTCGTGTCTGGGCAGATGCTGCGTCCGCAGATCCGTCAGGGAGCTGCACTCAGCGTCGCAGAGACTGCACCTGGTCGCTGCAGACTCACACACGTGCAGATGAGCCACCATGTCCTGGGCTTTGTAGCACTTGAACTTGCATCCGTTGCACGAATGCATCCTGGATTGTGCTCCTCGCGACCTGTTCCCGCCCTCCTGCACATCTTGCTGCACCTGAGGCGCTGTCTTGGTCTCTGTCGGATCCAGATCCTCCTTGATCAGCTGCTCTGGTTCCTCACAGTCATCCTCGCACAGGAGATTGTACAACTCCTGCACTTGCAGGATCTTCGACAGTCCCTTCAAATGCGTTCTGTGCTCCGCCGACACGACAATATCATTGGCATAGAGGTAGTCTAGCATGTCACAGAGGCAGTCCTGGCAGGAGAAGTTCATAATCTCAATGGTCAGGGGATTCTTGGTGGAAAACTGCGCCTCTTCCGTGAAATATTTGTTCCCCACGAAGTTGCTCTGATCCGCGAGGACGCAAAAGTGGGCGCACAGCTGGAACTCAGAGTTCAACTTCACGATTACATCGCAATATCTGCCGGACTTTCTCTGCTTATTCAGCAGTGAGGAAACGCGATTTTCAGGCATTTTCACCTTCTCTGTTGTTGTTGTTTACCTTTTTTCACTCTCACGTAAACATGCGATTTCGGAAAGTCAAACTGTCAAAATCACATGTATTCCGAGAGTTCGCCGCGGGTTTCGGAAGAAAAGCGCGAACACGCGAGAAAAATGTCGAGGTTAATTTCACAATTGTACGCAATAAATCGCGGATTTCTCACAGCCAGAGTGGGTGTTTTGCATCAGTCACCACACCCAGGAAGAGCCTTCTCCACATCCCGCGTGAGATTGTGCGAAGAGAGCCAGGAGAGTGCGCCGGGAAGCGTATCGGAAGCGCCGGCAGTGCAGAAAGTAAGGGGAACTGTTGACAGGACAAAAGTGATTCCCGTGGACACGAGCATCAGGTATCTGAGGAGTGCGGCGTACAAGGAGACGTACGGAGAGCAGCCCGTGTGGGTGCAGTATCGAAGGAATCACAAAGGTTCAATTCCACCGCGCAAAACCCGCAAGACTTGCATTAGAGGCGGATTTCTGTCCACCGGCAATCCCTGTCCGATCTGTCGGGACGAGTATCTGGTGCTGGATCACAACAACTTGGAGCTGCTGAAGCAGTTCATCTCGCCATTCACCGGAGAGGTGAGTAATTAGGCGGTATTTGGGGGTGTTTCAGGGACTAATTGGCTCTCTTTCTGCAAAGGTTCTGAGCTACAACAAGACAGGATTGTGCCAGAAGAGGCACAACGAGCTGCTGGTGGTGGTCGAGAGGGCCAGAGACAGAGGATATCTGACCTACGACGTGCCCTTCAGACACTACGACTACTCTGAGTACTACAATCCGGAGAAGTCGTCATAAAAGCAGAGTTAGTAGAATAGTCAAGTCCATAGAGATCATCTGCATTGCTGGCCAGAGACTCATCTGGGAGGGAGGAATTGAGGATGGGGAAGTATCAGGGGACTTTTGTGATTGTTGGCGGAGGAATAGCCGGCGTGTCATGTGCAGAAACCATTGCGTTCTATTGTCCTGAGGAGAAGATCGTTCTGCTGACAGAATCCTCCCTTATAAAGGCTGTCACGCAGCTGGTGTCGCTGGGAAAAGCCCTGACGCGCTTCGAGGTGGTGGAGAGAAGTGCCGAGACGATCGGGAAGTGTGTCCAGGTGGTCACAGACAAGTTGTCCAGCGTTAGGACGCGAGAGAAGATCATCATTACTGAGAAAGGACACGAGATTTCATACAAATATCTTTGTCTCTGCACTGGCGCTCGTCCGAAGGTGATCGAGGAGAGTCCGAATGTGATTGGGATTCGCGACACGGAGTCTGTGGAGGAGTTTCAGCGGAGGATTAAGGATAGCGAGAGGATTGTGTTGGTGGGAAATGGTGGAATTGCCAGTGAGATTGCGTTCGAAGTCAAAGGCGTGGCGATTGACTGGGTGATCAAGGACAATCACATGTCCTCCACGTTCCTGGATCCGGGAGCGGCAGAGTTCTTCAGGCAGCGTCTGCAGGAGAAGCAGCACAATTCGAGCGCCGGCGGTGCGACGGTGAAGAGGATGCGCTATGGCGAGACACAGGGCAGCAGTGGAGCCGCTCTGGGGCCGGATTGGCATCGGATGCTGGATGTTTGCGGAAATGCGCGGGATTTGCCGGACTCTGTCAGCATTCACAGCGGCTGCGAAGTGAGGAATGTGCGCAAAAGTGCCAACGGGAGGAAATTAAGTGTTGACTTGACAAACGGCCGGGCGATTGAGTGCGACTTTGTCGTCTCAGCGACTGGTGTCGATCCCAGAATTGATTACACTGTGGATTCGCCTCTGGAGCGTGCCACAGACGGTGGGATTTCAGTCAATGAACTCATGCGAACCTCCGTGGCGGACATTTTCGCGGCGGGCGATTGCTGCACGGCGTCGTGGACGCTGCCCGACAACTGGTTCCAGATGCGCCTGTGGACGCAGGCCAGACAGATGGGCATGATGGCCGGCAAGGCGATGGCGATGACCGCGCTGGGGCAGCAGGAGCAGATTGTGCAGGACTTCTGCTTTGAGTTCTTCGGCCATGTGACGAAACTCTTCGGGCTGCAGGTTGTGCTGCTGGGCAGATACAATGGCCAGGGCTTGGGCACCGGCTACGAAGCCCTGGTGCGCGTGACACCCAATCAGGAGTACATCAAACTCGTACTGGTCGGCGGAAGGCTGCAGGGCGCCATCCTGATCGGCGAGACGGGCCTGGAAGAGACTTTCGAGAACCTCCTGCTGAACCAACTCGATCTCACGCCCTTCGGCGCCGATCTGCTGGATCCCAACATCGACATTGAGGACTACTTCGACTAGAGACACCCTGTAAGATCACTTGAATCACTTGAATACATGGCGATGCAGATGATAAGGCTGATAAGACTCCAATCGCGACCCTGACCACGGATTGCGGGCATGTGGGAAGTGGGGTCAGAGGGCGGCAACAGCTGATGGCGCACAGATCGCCCCCCGCCGAGTGGATTTCGACGACGGCGGGCGTTTTTTTGGCCAAGACACTGTCGTCTGAGCCACTCAGGCCACGTGTTTCTCCTTCGCAGGGAAATTTGAGTGGAGAAATGAGCTTCTTTTTCCCTGATTCAGGCCTTTCCGCCGCGCACGCAAATCATCCCCGCTTCGGTTTGTTTAATGAACTCTCGCAAAGGCACACGAATTGGCCGAGAAAGTGCAGAAGTGAAGGAAAACTCTGGTGAGTATTTCGATTATATGGATATTGGGAAAATAAGAATCAGTTCAGAGTTAACAAAAAAAAACCAGTTAATTGAAGAAATAATGGAAAAAAGATATATTTCTGGTCATGCAAACGCGAATTATCATTTTAAATGCTGCAAAAATAATTTTTTAAGATCCAAAAACTTCCAAGATATTTAATTAAGAAAATTAATCTCTTTTTTTTTAGTATTTAAGTGCTTTCCGGTTTCTAAACACTTAAGTTCAATCCATAACTTGAAAAATGTTCATAAAACTGTACTTTAATTGTCTGATTTTGAGGATTTTGATGATTCAGGATTAATCGGAGACTTCGCTAAAGTTTAACAATCTTACAAATTTTTATTTCAAAATAAAATTAAAGATAAAGCCCCAAAATTTCGCCTTTGGGAAAAACAATCGGATATTCTACATGCCTTTCAAACTTCATCAGCTGAATAGCCGATGATGAAAATGGGCTTTTTCAACGCGAAAGGCTTTATTTCCTTCTCTCCTGACCAGGAAGACATTAAGCAAAAATTTGCGATATCTTTCGCGTCCCCCACGCCAACTTTGCTGCTCTCTGGCGGTGATATGTGGAGAAAATAATTTGATATTTAATATTTTTGGTTATTTTGCAATTTAACGTCTAAAAATTAATATTTTTTCGATTATTTCCATTCAAATTTTCAATATTTGATTTTTTTTATCCATGCAAAGTTGCAATCAATAATTAAATATTTGATTGAGATCATTACCATTCCTCGAAATCATCTAAGACATTCCTTTTTCAGTATGCATAAGAAAATAAGACTTATTATTGGGAATTGCGTCAGAGTTAAGCGCAAAAAAAACTGGAGCATCGCAGGTGAAAAATCACCCATTCTCGGGATCATCTCTCTCTGTCTGTGACCTTTTGCCGTCGATGGTGTGCCTGTGCAACCCTTTCGCGCGATTCCCTCTCGAGCGTGAGGGCAAACACGTTCATTGTAATTTTTGTGCCTAATTAAATATAAATAGCGGGAGAGAAATTGCGGAGAAATTTTAGACAATTTGTGGAAATAAATAGGAGATTATTTAATTATACACTGTTTGAGAGTGGCGCGGCGCGCCCCTGGATTTGGGGTGGCGAGCGCGAGGGAGCGAGAGAGAGAGAGAGGCTGATGGCGAAGGGCGCGCGAGTGCGCAACTGCCGGATCCAATATCATGCCCCCAAAAAATTGTGCTTGTCCCACGGGAAGAGGCGGAGTCAGCTCGTCGTCGCTGCCTTCCAGCCACGGCTCTCCATCCTGCGCTCATTCAGCAGTCAGACGCGCTCGGAGCCGCTCGTGCTTCCCCAGAGAGACAGAGAGAGATCTGCGTTGAGTTCTTGGCCACAGTGCGAGTGTGATTGGACAGTGTGGACACGGAGTGTTGAGTGCAGAGTGAAAGCTGGATACCAAGGAAATTATCAGTTAAGTGTGCATCGAGGAAGATTTGGCGCGCTGAGAAGGTTGGCAGAACATGGAGGATCCCCACTTGGCGGACGAGTACGTGCAGGACTTCGTGCTTGATCACCTGGAGGACACGGCCGTGAAGCGCGAGGACCCCAGTCCGCCCAGCAGCAAGATCTCCTGGACCACAACGGTGGTGGAGGAGGAGGAGGCGGCGCCCATCCACATGAAGCTGCGCTCGCTGCAGCAGCACAACTACATTCCCTACCACGACAAGAAGCGCATGCATCCGCTGTCGCCGCCGCCGGAGATGTACACGGGCCCCATGGCCGGGCAGCCCGTGCTGGTGAACAGCGCCGTGGCGGGCGTGCCCACGACGCCGCCGGAGACGCCGCCGACGGGCTCGCCGCAGCCGCCGTGCGCCCAGGGATACACAGGACACTACGGCATGCAGAGGCAGAGCAACGGGCTGATGGAGGACATGATGTTCCTGCCGGACACCATGCGCCTGGAGCAGCCGCTCGATCTGCGCCACCTGCACTGCGACGAGGCGGAGTGGGAGCGCCCGCGGTACTTGCAGCCCAACGACGGCGGCGGCGGCGTGTCTGGGCCGCCGTTCATCCAGCACCACCATCTCACACACCTGGAGCACATGGGGCCGCTGCACGCGGGCTCGTATCACGGCCACATGGCCAGGCCGCTGAGCAGCGGCAGCACGGGCACCATCGTGGTGTCGCCGCGCCAGTCCGCCGGCCAGCACAGCAGCAGCAGCGTGGGCAGCAAGGACGACGAGGAGCTGGACGACGACCTGCTCATGTCGCTGAGCGTGCGTGAGCTGAACAAGCGCCTGCACGGCTTCTCGCGCGAGACAGTGGTGAAGTACAAGCAGAAGCGGCGGACGCTGAAGAACCGCGGCTACGCGCAGAATTGCCGCTCCAAGCGGCTGCAGCAGCGCCAGGACCTCGAGCTCACCAATCGCACGCTGCAGTCGCACCTCAACCGCATGAAGATGGACCTGGAGAGGATCACGCAGGAGCGCGACCAGCTCAGGCAGATGGTGATGACGCACGGCCAGTCCGGCGGCGCGGCGCCCCAGAATGGCGCCTTCCACAGCGCGGACACGGGCTCGCCGGCCACGGAGTTCCTGCTATGACGGCAAGCCAGCGCCCACAATTGGCCAGCACGATACTGAAGGTGACGAATTGTAATCCCACATTCAATCCCTTTGCGTCACGATTACCAGGACTCGTGGCTTCTTGGGGGGGATCGAGAAGCGATTGGGAGGGTAAGAAGATGAGCTACTTTGCAATCAGTTATCAGTCTCTGGATCTAATCAATCTTGACCTCTGAATTTGTCCACTGAATGAATTCATTGAGACAAAAACACTTTGCGTTTATCATTTCTCATGTTCCCCCGATTGAAAGGTAAAAGTAAAAGGAAAAAAACAGTGAGAAAAGACAAATCTTTAGCAGTATTTAGTGCAGATGATGAATGAGAGCAGCAAAAGACATACTAATTAATAATTAAAGGAGAAAAAGGAAGATAAACTACTCGAAGGTACTAAACAAAATGATGGTTGTGTGATTGTTTTGATTGGAGATGGAACTTCTTGAACTGAGTTTCTCTCACAAGATTCTTTTCTGTTTATTTATAATTCACTCCAATTTCCAATTGAGTTGAGAACTTATTTTTTTTACTGTTGTTGAAGATTCTTTTCTACATGTATTATTATTTTTTATAAAATTGACTCCATATTGCACAATATTTAGGTGTTTATGCTGAGGATTGCGAGAGTGGAAAGAGGATGAAAATATCAGATTCTTGTGTTTTATTTTCTCTAGGAAGTAAAGGAAATTATAGTGAGAGCAAATGACATGCAATTTGAAAAATTGTAAACTGTATAAAAGATAAAAAATTCTCCCCCTTTTAAAATACATATATATGATAAATTCTATAAATAATTAAGATTAATTATATTTGTAAATAAGAACAAATTAGGGTTAATCTACTTGTTCGTATAAAATAAAAGTATATTGAAGAAAGTTTGCCATCTTTTCTCTCTCTCTCTCTATTTTCACATCCTTGTTCGCGGACTGAAGAAATCCACCTGGAGAAAATGGCGTGAGTTTTGTGAAAGAGTGGAAAAGTGTTCATAATTTCCGTGTTTTTTGTTTGCAGATGGACACAAACAAGAAGAAGAAATACAAGAAGAGGTTTGTGTATTTTTTCTTTCCCACCAGCAAAAACACTTTTTTCTGTTCTTTTTGGCAAGTCTTACGCAAGTGTTGCACTTGATTATCTCTTATAACACACAAGCAGAGCAATAGAGTGAGAATGCAGACAACTTCCTCCTTTTTTTCCTCTGGTTTTCCCCTGTGATGGGCCAGAGAAAAGTGAGCAATCGAAGGTGTCAAAGGGAAATCTCACATGATTTTATTTGCCTTTTTCCTCTGAGGAAGAGGAATTTCTCCTCGTCAATTTGCTGTTGGAGCACTTTTTTTCTCTCACTCTACTTGTCTCCCGAATTTGCCGATTCATTAGAATTTTTTGTGACGACCATCGATTACATCAAAATCAGGTCATAGACCTAGAGATTGTGAATTTAATACGAAAGACTGTGTGAATTGTTCCACATTTTGACCATTTCTCGACTTTTCCTTTCGAATTTACTGCAGATTTTGGATGAATTTTGAATGTTTCAATAATTTATTGTTACAACTTTACAGATTTTCATATTTTATTTCATAAAAAAAAGATTTTGCGTTGCAACTTTACAGATTTCATATTTTAATTCATAAAAGCTAAGATTTTCAGTTGCAACTTTACGCTGTTTCTTAGTTTGTATTGACGGCCGATAAATATGAACGAGATTTATTTAATACGAATTTCAGCTATCAAAAGAGCAATTTTAACCATTTTTTAGAGCAGAATATTCTAATTTCCGCCCATTCTGTCTATTTTCTTGATTTCCACGTAATTTTTCCGACTGTGAATATATGAATTGACTTCAGACATCAACATTTGAAACATTTCGTGTCTATTTTTTTTTTCTAAAATATCATGAAAATAAAGTTGCAACGACTTGTCAATTCTCTTTGATCAGTGACTTGGAATCTTTAATCCTTGCAGCTTAAAGCACAGAAAAACCGCATTCTATTGAGCAAATCGATCAATTCTCTCTGTGATTTTGTCAATCGAATCCTTTATGCATGATTTAAGCGCCAAATTCTGCGTGCATTTTCTCCTGGCGTCGTTTGAGACGTGAATGCAAAGCAAGGAAAGGCAGGGAAAAAAGTGAAGGGAAAATGCGTGGAAAAGAAGGAGTTGAAATCAAAAAAAATTCGTTTCACACTTCATTTGCTACCCTCTTGGGAGATGTGCTGAAATTCCCTGCAATTTGTCTGGGGCTGGAATATCATGGAAAATAATCTTCTTGGGCAGATCATTGACTTATCAGCTGCACCGCGCGATGATATAGTGTTCCTTATCAGTTGATGCTTTGTGCCGATGGAGAAAAAATGCTCCACGCTTGTTTTCATGTGAAATCATTTTCTCCCCGTCAGTCTCTCAGTTCATCATGTTTGAATTGAGAGTGAGTCAAGCGACGAGTAATTAATGCACTTTTCTGATGACTTGGCAAAATGATTGCATTTGGGAAAATATAACACTCTTTTTTTTCCCCTCCTCTGGGGACTGTGTCGATGGAATAAATTGCAAAACAACCGTGGCAAAGTCGTCAATGGGTGTCAATGAACGGAAATTTGGTAACACGCGAGGGACAGTATGGAAAATTCCTTCTAGCAAAATCCCACCAGGGCGGATCGCATTACAAGTTGGTGTGTTTGCGCGAGAAATTGCGATGGGAAAATCTGGGGTGCATTATCGATTTTTAATTGAATTGCAATCCACACAAGACACACTTATGATGAACTGGTGTTTGGCCCGAGGAAAGTGCTGAGGAAGGGAATAGAGAAGAAGAAAAAAAATCCGCGCTCTGTCCAACTGTTTGGGAGGACAGAAGAGAGAATTTCCCCGCGCGCGAAGTGCCGCGCTGTGTTTTTGGGGGGTGAAAAGTGCTCCCACGAAGAGGCGGGGCCACGCTCTTGCTCAGGCAGGTACAAGTGCACCAATGAAATTTTTGAGGCCATCCAGCACAACATTTTCCAGTGGAAATACAATATCTGCGTGCCGAAGGGCCTTCGGCGCTTGTTGTTATTGTTGCTCCTCTTCTTTGGGGAGCATCGCGTCGGGCGTCTGCGCCTTGGCGCTCCGTCGGGGCGTCCATCGAAAGGAGGACAAGCTGGGCGAATGCACTGGGAATCATGAGGAAATCATTGGGGATTGATTGTCTCCTGAAACGGATTTTACAGGCAGATGAGAGATCAAAAGCCTTGGCGAGAGAAGGGAAAAAAAACCATCACCAGAGACAATTAAGCGGGTGAAAATGATGGAAGAAAATAACGAACAAGTTCCTTTGTTCAATTGCAAACTTACAAGCTGGAAAATAATAATTTGTGCAATTGGATTTTCTGCACAGCCAAAAATCACTTCTAATCTCTGGAAAATATCCTCAAATCTCGTTATTCCCTCAGAAGTTCCCCGTGGCGAGGCGACAAGATCCGAGAGATTGATATCTAGAGAACATATAAAATATATAAATTGTCAATGAAATGTTGCAAAGGACTTTCCCTTCAATCAATAAAGGAACTTTTGTGTGTTTTCCATCACATTTCTTATCTCGCGAAGCCAATATTTTCATTCCAACACTTAATGGAAAGTGATAGCATGGAATATTTGTGTGAGTTATTGACAAACATTCACTGCAAAAAGTTGTAATATCAAGAGATTGGGTGAAATTTCCTCTCTATCGCCAATTAATCCACTTCACTTGACGACATGTTAGCCTAATTATATGCCTTCAATGGACAAGAAAGGAAAGGTCATCGATTGGCAATTGATACGAGACAGGAAACCCACTAACATCCATTTGATTCTTAACGCCACGCCAAAGAGACTCCTTTGAAATCCAAGGGGAAGATCAGTGTTGGAATATTGATCTTTGTAATTCGTATAACACAATCATTTAACACAATTTCTAGGTTATTTATGTGACTCCAAATCTGGAAACATTTCTAATTTTTGGTCAAATTGAGCGAAAATTGGAGAAAAAGATTTATTTTCTCCATCTTTCTAGGTTATGTTATGAATTTAAAACAATCTTTGTCACTAAATAACCTCCAAAATCATTAATTCTTGCGCCTAAACTGGTAGAATTTGTATTTACGGACATGATAACAATAAAATCTGTTGAAAATTACAAGCATTCAATGTAAAACTTATGTTAATTAAGCTGAGATTGATCATAACCTCTAAAATATTGCTTCAGAATACAAAATTTGCTGTTTTAATAGCTCTTTGATTGAATTTTCTATTCCAAAATAGCAAATTTTAGCTTAAAAATAAATGAATAAGTTTCTTTCAACAATTCTTGTCGATATCTCAAGGCAATTTTTTAGGTTATGTTTTAAAGTAAGTTAGAACGACGTATTTTCAGATCAAAGACTCCTAAATTTGAGGTTATGATGCTTCAGGCGGTTGGTAAAATGTATAAAATTCAGAAAAAGGAGAGGAAAATAGAGAAAAAGCATATTTTAAGCACTACCAAAGTTGTGGAATTGTTAAATTTGTTGTAAATCATGTTTCTGTAAAATTTAAAGAAGTAAAATTTGCAAGAAAAATTCTAAAGAAGCTCTGAAAAATGTTGAAAGAATTCTTAAGTTTTAAAACTAACTAATGTGCATGGATTCTGGCCAAATTATCTCCCCTTTGTTGAAATCTACACCCGGAAAAATCCCAGCAATTTTTCCGCCGTTCCCTCGAATTGAGGTCACCCCTTTTCAGTCCAGGGATGGTCGTTTAGTGTCACACAGACAGCTCTCTTTCCGCCTTCCTCCCCTTCAGGATGTGCACAAATTGGAGATGAATTTCTAACTTTTGCACAAAGTGTCAAATTTTAGAGAGCAAAGTTGCACGTGAAAAAAATGATCAAATCATGGATATTTTAAAGAGATAATTGGGCCTGTCTTCAGCCGTTCACGTTTCTTCGTCGACGGATGACAAATGAAATGTGAACATTTGGAAATTAAATTGTGCGGAGATTTCCTCTCCAATTGCTCGCGATGGCTTGTGCGAGAGTGTGAGACATTTGCGAGACGTTTTGTGGGGAAAAGAATCTCAGAAGTGTAGAATTTCTGACCTTGGCACTAGGATGAGAATTGCATGAATACTTGAAGACTGGAGAGATCTTCCAGTGGCTATCACTTTAGCTGACTAAGACTTTGTGCCGGAGTGTCTCTTCGCGCTGCCTTAAAATGTAATGAATGGCGCGCGTTGAGTCAACAATTGAGGAGAGGAATTGAGATCAAGTGCACAAAATGCAAACTCTGGCCTTACAATCACTGTTCTGTCGAATTGCTCTCTCTCTCTGGATTCGCGCGTGGAATTCATCTAATGAAGTCACGTCCGGGAAAAATCCTCCAGCTTCTGAAGTCATTTGATACCAAAAAAATTGGAGAGTCTGAAAGGGAAATAAATCCCAGGAAGAGAGACAATCTGTGGCAAACAGCGCCTTTGCATATATACAGTCCAGTGTGGCTGGAATTTTATGCTGTTTTATCTGCCATGAAGGTGCCACGGCCACACTTGGCATTTGTTATTGGAAATTGTCCCCCGCATGGCGCACATTGTGCGACCATCTCGGGTCCACCGGAATGGTCAGATTATGGCGTAGGTAATCCCCCTCCCACCCCTCGTGCACCATATTCTTTTTACGATTATAATATGCAGACAACAGAGGAAATCAAACATATAAAATTGGGCGATATTCCGGAGCATCCCTTGGCAAATGATATGCGTGTGACTCGTTATTTTTGTCATCGAAACCATAAAGATTGAATTCTTCCCCGGCGAGGGGGTGGCGGAGGGTGGAATCGCCATGTGCCATACCCACACTCACTAAATCAAATGAATTGACCACAGAATG